GTACTAATTTTTAGTTTTAATGGATTTAGTTAAATTTAGAAAAAATAAAAAAAATAAAAAAAAATAAAAAAAATAAAAAAAATAAAAAAAAAATAAAAAAAATTAATTTTAATTTAAATTTAAATTCTTTAAATTAAAATAATTAATTATTTTAAAATTAATTTTAAAATGACAATGAATTACATATTTAGAAAATTTATAAAAAATAAAATAAAATAAAAAAATATTTTTATAAAATCTATAACTTTAAAAAGAGTAAATTATGATAACATAAACAAATAAAAAAAAAAAAAAAAAAAATAATAAAAATAAATTATATGAAAGAACTGATCATATACATACCTTTCTCTTTTAAAAAATTCTTTGTTTTTATATATTAAAGGATTAATATTATTGTTAAAAAAAATTTATTAAGAGAAAAAAAAAAAAAATAAAAAAATAAATTATTTTAATTTATCTATTATTTGTTTTAATAAATATAAATTAAAGGATTTGAAAAAAAAAAAAAAAAAATTAAAATGTATAGAAAAAAAAAAAATAATTAAAAAAATAAAAAGAAATAAAAAAAATAAAAATATATCAATATAGATAAAATTCTATTTTTTATTTATTAATTTTTATATATAATTTTATTTATCTATAATTTCGACATGTTGTTGTTATGATAAAAACATTATAAAATGAAAAATATAAATTATGTGTGTTAAAATTATTATTTTTATTAATTGTGGTATTTTTGTTATTGTTGGAGGGGAATATGATATCATTAGAATTAGGGGTGTTCCTTTTATATTTAAATATTTTTTCAATTCCAATAATTTGATTTACTTTTTATAAAGAAAAAAAATAATAATTTTTTTAAAATCTCTGAATAAGGGAGAATGGTAATATGAAAATCATTATATAATGATCAATTTAAAAAACAAATGTTTAAAAATAGGATAGGTTGTTGTGTGTGTGCTAAGGTGTGTTCAAGTTACTGTACGTTTATGTGGGCGTTCATGTTTTTTTTTTTTTTTAAATAATAAAAATAATAAAATATTAAAAGTTTTTTTTTGAAAAAGAGAAAAATGGTATATGGAATTTATAAATCTGGTTTTGAATTCTTAATAATTAAAATAATAATTGTATTTCAGCGATTATAAAAGTGGGAATAAAAAAATATAATGATGAACAAATTTAAAAAACCAACTTTTAAAAATAGTAATGCTTAGGTGTTGAGTGTGTTTAATTTTTATAAAATAATAAAAATAATAACATTGTTTTTAATAATGATTTTATATTTTGTTTAATAAAGAAAAAAGTTATTTTTAAAAATTTGGGATAAGATAAAGCATATGAATCTGGTTTTGAATTATATTATTATAATAATTGTTTTTTTTTTTTTTAATCTATTAATATACACAAAAAAGAACTTAATTTTTTTTTATTTTTAAAAAAATTGATTGTGGTTATTTTTTTTTTTTTTTTTGATTATATATAAAACTAAACTATTATTAGGGGATTGATTTTGTTTTTTTTTTTGGGGAGAATGCTAAATTATTTAGCATTTTGAACAGCGTCTGCAACAGCTTTGGCAAAATACATAATGTTATTATCATTTAAACCTGCTAATGATACTCTGCCACTACCTAATAAATAAATGTGATATTTCTTTACTAAAATTTCAACTTGAGCTGGAGAAAGACCGGTATAAGTGAACATACCGATTTGGTCAGTAATGTGTTTCCATGAACCTGGGACATTGAGTTGAGCAAGGGCATCGACTACTTTTTGACGAACATCTTTAATACGACCAGACATTTCTTTGAGTTCTTTGACCCAAAGAGCAGTAAGCTCTGGATCAGAGAGAACGGTGGTAACAATACGAGCACCATGGGTTGGTGGTGAGGAATACATGGCACGAATATCCATTTTAAGTTGTGAAAGCATTTTTGGAATAACATCTTCACGGTGTGAAACAATGGTAAGGGCACCAGCTCTTTCACCATAAAGACCAAAGTTTTTAGAGTATGATTGGGCAGAAAACATTTCGAAACCACGGTTTAAAAAGAGACGAGCACTGTAAGCATCATAGTCGAGATCACCACTAGCATAACCTTGATAAGCACAATCCATGAATGGAATATGGTTCTTTTCTCTCATAACGTCGGCAATAACATTCCATTGTTCGTGGGTTGGGTCGACACCAGTTGGATTGTGGGCACAAAGATGAAGAACGAAAACACTACCATTTGGAGCGGCTTTCATATCGGCAATCATACCTTCGAAATCTAAACCCTTTGTTTTTGGATTGTAATAAGTGTATTCGGCTGATTTGACACCACTTTCTTTGCAAATGTTGTGATGATTGGCCCATGATGGACGTGAAACATAAACAACAGTACCGGCTGGTAAATATTTACGAATGAAAATGATACCAATACGAAGAGCACCAGTACCTGATAAAGCTTGAACTGTAACCATTCTCTTTTCCTTACCATTCATGGCATCACCGTATAAAAGTTTGGCTGAGAGTTTGTTGAATTCTGGAATACCATCGATTGGTAAATATTCTTTTGGTGCGCCTAATAAACGCTTTTCAGCTTCATAAACACTTTTTAAAACATATGGTTTACCATTTTCATCTCTATAAGCTCCAACACTTGTATCTACTTTGTTTGGATCTGTATCTGCTTTGAATGCAACACTTACACCTAAAATTGGGTCAACTGGTGCTAATGGTACATTTTCGAATAATGTGCTGTTTGAAGATGCTGAACAATCGTTGCTTTGTAATGTATTATCCATCATTTCTACTGGTACGAATAATGAATTTTTAATTCTTTCTGAAACTTTATCCATTTTTTAAAAAAAAAAGTTAATTATATGGAGTAGCGGAAATATAAAGAGATAAAATTAAAAAATTAAAAAAAAAAAATTTAAAAAAAATTAATTGAAAAAAAAAAAATTAAATTGAAAAATGTTGTGGGGGGATGTATGTAAATAAAAATAAAATAATATGACAAAAAAAAAAAAAAAATAAGATATTTTCTTTTTAGTTATTATAAATAAATAAATAGAATGAAATGGAATGAATGAATGAATGATTTTATTTTGATTAGAAAAAAAAAAGGAAAAAGAAATTTAATAATAATTCTAAATTGAATGGAAAAAAAAAAGAGAGAGAGAGAAAAAAATATAATGAAAAAATAAAAAAAATAAATATTATTCGATAGACATACCCAAAAAAAGTTATAAATGTTTGTATAAAAAAATTAATATTAAAAAATAAAAAAAAAATGAAAAAAAGTTGTTTTTTTGAAAAAAAAAAAAAATAAAAAAAATAAAATTAAAATAATTTATTTTTTTTGAAAATTTCAAAATTATAATATTTATTTTCCAACTGGTAAAATAAAAAAAAGATTATTTTAACATAAACAAAATAAATATTATTTAATTTTATTATTATATTCTTTTGATTATTTATTCTATCCATATGGATATTTTTTATGATTTTAAAATAAAAATATAAAAATAAAAATAAAAAAATGTGTTAAATATATTTTTTTTTTTTTTTTTTTAAAATTAAATTAAATTTTCAAAATCGATTAAATTTTTTTTTTTTTTTAAAATTTTTAATTAATATAAATTTTATTTTTTAATTTCTATACAAATTGCAAATAATAAAAAAATAATGAACAGTTGTACAAACAATTTAATTAAAGTAAATTTAAATTCGATCAATGAAAAAGAAAAAGAAAATTTTAAAAATGATGGATTTATTATTTTAAAAGATTTAATTAGTAAAGAACAGGCAGATTATCTATTTGAACGTTCAAAGCAATTGTTTCATGGTAAATGTGACAAGGGTATATATCCAGACGAACAATATTGGAAACCAAATCTATCAAGAGATGATGTAACCAGAGAGATTGTTAATTGTTGGAAGACCGACTCTGTTATGGCACAACTAGTACTATCGGAACAATTGGGTGCTATTGCCTGCGAACTATTGGAGTGTGACAGTGTTAGGGTGGCACAGGACGATATATTTTGGAAACCAGTTCAAGGAAAACCAATCAATTTTCACCAAGATATTCCATACTTTAATTTCTTTAAACCAAGTAAAGTCGTAACAATATGGATAGCACTAAACGACGTATCATTAGAAAATGGCACTTTGGAGTTTGCAAAGGGATCACACAAATGGAATCATGATTTATTTAAGATGAACGATCAATTTCATGCACCAGAGGACTATCTAAAAGGATTGGATGGAGCAATGAAAAGAGAAGGTGTAGACAAAGATCAGCTAGAATTGGTACCAGTAACTGTTGAAAGAGGTGGTGGTTCAGTACATGGGGGTTTGCTTTTTCATGGAAGTAATAAAAACCCATCCAGTTTCAATGAAAGAATTTCAATTGCAATTCATTACATTCCAGGTGAATGTGAATTCAGAGATAACAAACCTGGTTACATTTATGGTCGTTACAAAATTTATAATTCTTTTAAATTAGAAGAATCATTTTTCCCAATAGTTTATTCTAGAAATGGTTATAGATCAGAATGTATTAAAGATTATTGTACAATTTAAAATGAAATAAATAAAATATATAAAATAAAAAAAATAAAAAATACTGCTTTTTTTTTTTTTTCTCTAAAATAAATAAAATAAACTAGTTTTAATTCATCATTTTATTTTTATTTTTTCTTGGTTGGTTTTGCTTTTTAAAATCTTCTTCTTGTTTAATTTTTTGGTTTTGTAAAGCTACACTATTTGCAAGATGTTCTTGTAATGTTGCAAATGGATTGCTTTGAAATTGTGGATGTGCTAAAACATTTTTATATTGACTTAATTCTTTTTGTGATATTTTCTTTCTCTTTTCGTTTGTTAGTTTTGGTCCTTTGGTCTTTGGTTGTAATTTCATTGAGTCTTTTAATAAATTAATTGATGACATAACACCTGATAATCCCATATTTTCATTTTCTTCGTCGTCTTCTTCTTCATTATCATTATTATTACTGTTTTTATTATTTTTTAAATTTAAAGTTGAGGATGGGTTGAATTCTAAAGTAATTTTAAAATGAAACATATTAGTATTGTTTTTTATTATTAAAAATAATGACACACTAAAAAAATAAAAAAAAACACTAAAAAAACAAGAGATAATAATTACTTGATAAAAATGCTTCTTTTTTTTGTTTTCTTTTTTCTTTCTTTGATTGTAATTGTGGTCTTCTATCTGCTGTATCTGTTGTAGTGGTGGTGCTATGATCGATATTTTCATTTTTGCTATAATCTAAATTACCACTTGGTATTATATTTTTATTTAATGATTTGAATGCTTCATTGATGATGCTGGTATCTAATTTAAAGTTTGGTACTGATACAAATGATGTTTTTTCAGCTTTAGCAAATTCATCTTCTTTTCTAGCTGATGATTTAATATGAAGTGATTTTGATTTAACTTCTTTTGGCATTTTTTTTAAATTATTTTATATATACAAAGGGTTCTGTGTTGATGATTTCAAAGGTTAAAACATAAAATTAGTTTTCGTTTTTTTTTTTTTTTTTTTAAAATAAAATTTTTTTTTTTTATTTTTTTTTTATTTTTTAATTTTTTTTTTTAAAAACTACAATTAAAATTACAAAAAATAATAAACAACAATTAAAATGAAAAAAAATTAAAATAAATGGTAATTTTTTTTTAAAAATATTTTATTCTGTCATATAAATATTTGTACCATCTTACTCACTTTATATAATTTGCATTGTAGCCATATTTTTTTTGATTTATGTAGTTGCTATAATTATTATCTTCTCTACTTTCTGTGCTATTTCATTTTTTATTTTGCAATATAATATTTATTTTTACAAAAAAAAAAAATAAATAAAAAAAATAAAAATTTTAAAAAAAAAATAAAAAATTTAGAAAATTAATATCTCTTTAAATTATTATTTAAAGAAATTGAAAATTGGGTGAATTGGGAAAAAAAAAAGAAATAATTTAAATTTAACAAAAAATTAAATTAAATTAAAATACAAAACCCATAAGTTAGTTTTGTTGGTTGGATTTAATTCTATTTACTTTTAATTTTTTATTTCCTTTCAACCAAGGCCGTTAATCTTCAAACCTAATGATACGCCGCATTACATATCTTAGTTACACTGCATCTGTAACCAAAAATTATAAATCTGAAGTTTAACTTGATACCTTGGTTTTTTTGTTTTTTATTTATATAATATATTCAAAATTATTTTTATCGTGGTATTGTGTATTTGAATTTTATTTCTTTTGTCTGTTTTTTTTTTCATTAGATTAAATTTATTATAAAATAAAAATTATAAAAATTTTAAATTTATTATATGTTTTTTTTTTAGAATAGTTTTTTTATAATTTTTTTTTATATATAATTATGAAATAATTTATTTTCTTTATTTAATTAAAACTATTAATTATTAAAATTTATTTATTTATTAAATGATTATTTAATTAAATTTATAATTTAGTTATTAAAATATTGATTGGTTTAGCTATGCTTGGATATGCTTTGTCAATGAATCTGCATGGTCCAATGGTTGTTTCAACTTCTATTTATTGTTTTTGGTGGTGATTAAGAGTTGTCAATTTCATCATTTGATAATGAAACAGGAGGTAAGCTGATGTTCTACACGAATAGCTATTTAAGTTTGGACTATTTGAGGAGCAAGTTTCTGACCCTTTAATTTTTGAATTACCCTTGGGGTGGTTTGAAGAAAAGAATGATGATTTGCTATCTGTTTACAACATTTAAAAAGAAATAATTATAAATAAAATAAAACAATAAAATTTTAATTTTAATAATGTTAATTAATATTTAATACTATTTTTCACCAAAATTTCATTTTTATTAATATCTTTTTTTAATTTTTTAATTTATAATTTAGAAAACTTTTGAAGAAACAAAATAATAATAATGAAATCCAAGTTCAAGTTTACAAAATTAATGCCATTAAAGTACCTGCCGGGCAAGGTTAGAGAATGCATTATCCGAAATAAAAAAAGTTGCAATAAAAGAAATTTGTGCACTAAGTTTGAAATTAAAGGATAGAATCTAAATTTGCCTTTTCAAATCTCCAATTTGCAACAATAATGAAAATGATTTTTGAAAATTTATACTTTTTTGTAATAATGTTTAACCCCAACTTCATTTTTTAATTTATCCTTTAATGTAGAATGGAGCAAAGTTTACACCACTTTTATTAATTTACTTTTAAATTTTTTTTAGTATTTAATTAAAATAAAAAATTAAATTTGTATTAATTGCTAACTTACCCCTTCAATAAGAATGGGTTAACAACTAAAAAAAAATTAAATTTGTATACCAAAAATAGAATAATAATATCATATTGACTCTTTAGCATAGTGGTTATTGTACTCGTCTCCAATGTGAGAAACAGCAGAAAGCGGGGGGTCGGGCGTTCAACTCGCCCAAGGGTCATACTTTTATATTGGATATATCTTCCGAGTGATTTTTGGTTTAATATTTTCTTAATAAAGTGCAGTGTCTTATCATCAAAATTCTTGATATTATTAAATGAATCCATTTTACTGATTAATTTAAAGCATTTTACTGATTAATTTAAAGCATTTGCTTTTAATTATCTTCACTTTTTAAAAAAAAAAAAAAAAAAAAAAAAAAAAAATGAATCCACTTGAATTCTTGAATGAGTATGATATAAAATTATCAAAATAAAAAAAAAAAAAACTATAGTAGAATTATAATAATTAAATGTAAAAAAATCCTTGATACGTTTTAATGCTAAAAAATCCTTGATGTGTTTTAATGCTAAAAATCCTCGATATGTTTTAATGCTAAAAATCCTCGATAAGTTTTGATAATATTTTTAATTATTTTTTATTTTTTATACTATTGGCCACTCTTTGTAAAGAGTGTTTCCAGCTCTACCACGGGGAGGTTAGTATATTAGAGCCGAATGGTTAATTATGTATCCCCCCCCGCAGAATACATAATTAACCCCCATATTGATAATAGTGTGAAGTGAAGGGTAGTGGGGTGTGTTTTTTTTTTTGAAAATTTTTTTTTTTTTTTTTTTTTTTTTTTTTTTTTTTGAATTTACCTGGATGTGTATAATGAAAAAAATAAATTTTATGAAATTATTTTCTTTAAATACTTTTTAGTTTTTTTAATAAAAATAAAAAAAAAAAAAAATTTAATTTAAAATTAATTAATTAATTTATCTATAACTATTTCCTAATTTATTTAATCATCAATTCCAAAATAAGTAAAATGTAGATCTGCTACAATCAAAATTGGTAATAATTTGAAACAGGGGAGGTTTTTTTTTTCAAAATTTTTTAATTTTCAAATAAATTAAACACATCTTCCTTTTAAAGAAATCATTTTTCCATTTATATTATTTTATTATAATTCATTTCATAATTGATATGTGGAAAAGGAATAAAGTAAGAATTTGGTAGTTCATTATATGATAATCAAATTGGTATGATAGCTGAATGAAAATACATTAAAAAAAAAAAAAAAAAAATTAAATAATAATAATTTAATTTTTTTTTAAATTTCTTTAAAATTTTTTTTTTAATTATGAGCGCTCTTTTTTTAATTAAAAAAAAAATTATCATATAATTTTAAATTTTATTAATTATAATATTTTTATTTTCCTTTTTAAAAATAAAAATTAAATAATTATCATCAACATAAACCATAATCACATTATTCTATAAAAACTCACAATTATTTAGCCCATCACCTTCACCGCAGTACAATCATGAATAACCTCACAATCAAAGTCATAATCCAGCAGTATAACAACACTTTATCACCATTTCAAATTTCAGCAAATACTAAAAACACATAAATATTTTTATTTTTTACAACACACCAAAAACACGTAAATGTTTTTTAAACCATTTAAAACCAAATATTAATAATCACAAGTAAGTAAACTTTCATATGTATATATATATAAACAATAACCAACCGTCTATGGAAATGGGCGTCGTTGAAGAAAAAAATGAAGATAGAAACATAATTACTCAGAACGTTCTGAAGCCTTAGACTTGCCAAAGCAACCAAAGCATTTTATTGTTTTTCTATAGAAATGCCATCACTGACCATTTAACTCATCAACACTACCGCAGTACTTTAATGAAAACCAAATTGTTAAAATAGAAAATTACAATCACTTATTCAATAATCAATCCCTTTATAACAATTCAAAGAACCTCAATTATATCTAAACAAATAAAATTAATTTAAAAATCAAGATATAGGATATTCAATTTTCATCGATACAATTACAGTAAATGCAATAGAGATAATAATATTGAAGCAGCAATTGAATCATCATCGAATAATAACTATTTATTGAATAATATAAACTATTTAAAAGTTATTAAAAACAATAGAATACTTTATGCAAGATTCCAAGATAAAATATTATCAGATAATAGACCAACAACAATTGTGGTTAATGTCGTTTCAAATGATAAAAATTCAATTAAAATAGCATTAAACTTACCACATTGCGACGAATGTTTAGTCGATCCGGGTATGTATATTTTTTAAATAATTTTTTATATAACAAAACAGAATTTTTATTAACTTTAATTTTCAATATAGAATTTTCATTACTAATTTCACCAGATTATAGTTTTGAATGTAAAGATTCAAGAAAGTGGGTAATTGCTGTTGCAGTTTCTGTAAGTGTTGGATTTGTAGCTTTGCTTGTAGCACTATTCTTTGTTTATAAAAAGAGTACAGTTTTAAAAATCAAACTTTATAAGTTTAAAAAACTTTTAAAAAGTAATAATTAAAACAATAATAATTATATCAAATAAATCTTTTACTCCATCAAACTTGTCTATAATTCTAATTATAATTAAAAATTAGAAATTTATTAAAAAAAAATTGTTTAAATAAAAAGTATTATAATTTTAATTTACACCTCCAAACACACTTTTTTCATTTTATACAATTTTATGCAAAAAAAAGGAAAAATATGGCAAACAACCAGCATCAACGAATATAGGAAATTCAAAAGAATAGCAAGAGCATGCTTCATCAACACCAAATATCAATAGTTTAGAATATTTTCTTTAAAAAAAAACATTATAGTGAAACATTAAATAAAATTTACTGATTAATTTAAAGCATTTGCTTTAAAAAAATTTTTTTGTTTTTTTTTTTTTTAAAATTTAAGCAATTTTTTTAAAATATCTAAAAAAATAATAAGCGAACTATATAATAAAAATCATTTTAATTATTTTTTACAATAATATTTCTATTTTAAGGAAATCAATAAATTTATTGTTATTAAATGCCTTTTTTCTTTAGAACAAAAGAAAATTAATTTTAACTTTAATAATTTCAACAATATGTTTCTATTTTAGTATTTTTATGCAAATTAACACACAGAATAACACACAAAAAAAAAAAAGAATCATGTTCCCATACATTTCACATCAAAAAAAAACACACTCTATGTTTCTTAAAAAAAAAAGAATTTTGTTATTATGAGATTTATATAATTAAAAATAATCTAAAGCTCATATCCCCAATTTTATATAATTCTTTAAAAAAAAACAAAAAAAAAAAAAAAACAATTTAATGATGGATTAGAATATTTTTAACATACCTAATGCTCTCTTTTATTAAAACGAAAACAACAACAAAATCATTTGAAAAGTATTGTAATAAAATATTTTTATTTTTTATTATAATTACTTTTTATTTTTTTTTATTATTTTTTTTTTTTTTTATTATTTTTTAAATTATTAATTTAAATAATTATTTATAATTTTAAATATTTAAGTTTTTTTTTTTTAAAGTATCCAAATCAAAACTTTAATTAATATATTTTGCAGGATCAAAAGTTATGGGTAATATAATGGTCAGGAGCATAAATGAAAGATCAAAGAAAATAGAAAGAAAAATATCAAGTGTCGAAAAAAGAAACTTCATTATACCATCCACAAATAATATATACCATAATAAAATATGTTTAAACATTTCTCCAAGTTTATTTAATAGTTTAACAAGGCTTTAAAAAAATTAAAATAAAAAAATAATGAAATAAAAAAATATGTTGTATTATTATTTTACTAAACTCTTTGGAATTGTCATTGA